AAGGTATAGTATAGTATAGTGTAATATAGTATAGTTTAGTACAGTACAGTATAGTAAAGTGTACTATAGTGGTGAGTACATCATGAATTTTCGTTTTTCGGTGAACCATCCCTTTAAACCGCTGCAACCCGAGCCAACATCTCGTGACATTCCTGCGCGTCCTCGTTCGTGGACGCGCCTGGCACGGACGTCAACAGCTGCCTCTGTGACGGAAGGCAGAACCGACCAATGGGGGACGCTCGGAGAAGACGCGTCATCCAATGGGAGGCCGAGATTAGGGCGGGTGTGATAGAGTGGGCGGGTCTTAGTGACCAAGGAGCCGCTGTCAGGAGAGAGAAGAAGAAGAAGAAGAAGAAGAAGAGGAGGAAGAAGAAGAGGAAGAAGAGGAAGATGGCGAGAGGCCACAGTCTGAGGAGAGTGGCTCAGTGTCTGAAACAGTTTCCGTCTGTCAGCAGAGAAGTTCCGAGCAGGAGCAACGTCAGGTAAAGATTGAAACCACGTCTGATCCCCGGTCAGTCTGCAGAGTGTCAGGGAGTTCAGACCTGCATCAGACAGCTCGAGATCAAGTTTGTGAAACTGCAGGAATAAGTTTTTATTCAGGAGGAGACTCAAAACCGACTGGTGACATCTCAACTGAGCACATGCTAACATGCTAACACTTCAAAAAAACCACACCACATTTAACTGTGTACGAACTTTTAATAAATACTTCTCAACACTGCGACAGCTGCAATAACGTAAAAATAAAATTTTATGTTGATGAATACTGTAAATAATCCTGGACACAAGTGGTGGAATGCATCAAACTGTTTACACGTAATAAGAAGAAAGTGAAAATAATGTGGTGAAACAGCTGTGATAACATGAAGACACTCAGTGTGCAGTTTATTAGGTACACCTGCTCATCATGTACCTGGTGCTGCTGTTGAACTGTTCTGCATTGTACAGAAAGGTGTTTGTGTTGACAGCATATAGTCATTTAATAGAACCAGCAGCTCAGTTCAGCAGCAGCACAATGTGCAGACTGCAAACATGGGGAATCAGAGCGAAACAGAAAGTAAAAGAGCCGTAGAACCGTAAACCTTGCATTTAGTTATATTAGCAGTTTTATTCAGGAGGAGAAATTCTGTCAGTAAATACTTGACATCATCAGTGGAACATAATTACTCATTGTTCTTGTTGTCACTTCGGGTCTTACACATAATTTAACACGTGGGAATCGCAGCACGGCTTAATGGTGGTTAGTGGAAGAAGCCAAGTATTCAAACAGACCCTTTGTAATATTTATCATAAAATAATCCAAACTCATTTAAAGTGCAGATGTGTTATCATCAAGATAAGAACTACTACAAACTACTTTATGAACTGTTCATTTGTGTGTGTGGTCTACTGTCATGTAATCTGCACAATAACCAGTAACTGGAGCTTTCAGATAAATGGAGTAAAAAGTAATTTTTGCAGACAATTGAAATACTTCACAATACTTGTAACCATCACAATTAGTGAAAATGTCAGAAAGTTTTTTAATCTATTAAGAGCTGCTTCATCTGCAGCGTGTTTTCTATCATCTCGGCACATCCATTATCATCTGTGGTTTAAAATCCTGCAGAAGAGGCTGTTTTTCCACGTCATCGAACAGGTGTAAGTTTCAATGAGACCTTTCTGCCATTTCTCTCCCGAGGGGGAACTCAACTGAAAGTTCACCTCTGGCACAATGTTTCAGAAGGTGACACATTGCTGATAAGAGTTTGTCTGTGAAAGGGGAGATGGTCTGCACTGTGACATAGTTAGTTTAAAGCGTCCTCATCAAACATGTTTGAACTTGTAACGTTCAGTTTCTAATCCACTTCACTTTGTGTCACATGCTGGTTCTGCTCTTTTATCGTATCGGGGTCAGACTTTGTGCACGCTGTTCTCTGAAGGAGTATTTCTCAACCAGACTGTAACTACACACCCGAGTGGACTTGCCAGTTTTAGGTCACTGCCATGTGTCAGCTGTATCACGTTTCAGGTCGTAGTGAATTTACTTTCTTTGGAGAGTTCTGCAGACCTGTGATGACAGATATGATGTGATAGATATATGACCACAATAGGTTTCATGTAGAACACGAAGGATTTAACAGTTGGATCATAGATTCTGCTGATTTGAGGCTTCAGCAGACTTTATATCTGTGTTTGCTGATATGCACACAACAATGCACAAAATATGTATTAATGTTAACATTCTACAGAAAGATGTTAATTTGTGTTTTCTTTTTATTCCAGGTTGTTTAAAACTAAAGTTTATGGTTAAACTTAAAATATCAAGCCTCAATTATATTTCTTTGTCATAAGGGTTTGATAACGACGTCTAAGAAATCAGAGGCAATTCTTTAAAAAAAAAACAATAAATCAGCTATGGACCTTTTTTTTACTGTCTACGATCAGTATCAAACCACTGACCCCAAAAATATCAGTCAAGCTCAGTTTCGTGGATTTGGGCAAATGACTAATCTGATTTTATCACATCAAATGAATCGGTGAAGTAACAAGTGGTACATTTGAACCCACGTGTTGAGAGACGTGTGCCTCCAAACCGTCCGCTGCCAGGGACACCGTGGGTCACAGGTGCCGTGGGTCACAGCCAGAACTCAGCAGGAGGCTTCTGTCACGAGTAGCGTGACTTGAGTCCGTTCATGAACTTCAGTGACCCGTCCCGGATTAAGGAGTCCTTCCATTCATGGTGTCAGGGAGGAACTGACTCAGAGCTTTTGACTCAGGATTGGTTTATTAATCAATTAGTCGGTCGTCAGTCAGATCTTTTTTTTTTACATTTGCTCCAGTAAAGTGGTGATTTGTCATCCAGGACTCAGTTTCTCAGAACGTTAGTAAAGAAAAAGTGATGTTTTTAAGCTGGACATCGAGATTCTTTCTGCACCGTGTGGTTGTGAAAGAGTGAAGTCATTATTATCTATAATCTAAATCTGCAGCTTCTCCCTCAGGCCAAACAGAAAGCAGGCAGACACATATAGAAATGAATGCAGGCAGGAAGTCATATCGAAAACAGGGTCGAGTGAGTCCAGGTGGTTTGACTGCGCAGGGTTTCAGACACGGACTGTATTTATAAAAGATTTTATGTCTCCAGTTCTGAAGTTAACGAGGCGTCCAGGAGCTTGTTCTGTTCTGGTTTCCTGGCATTTCCTGTTGACCTGTTTTATGACAAATGCTTGAGAACTGTTATAAACCAGATCTTGATCGTTTCCTGACCCTGTTGGTTTGTTTCTCGACCAGGTACCTGTCGTCATGTGGGATCCTGATGACACGGGTGCCTCCCCTCCTGAGTGCGGCCATGCCAGGGCGTGGTGTCGTGTTGCCGGCCCGCAGCTTCTTCAACCTGGCTGACTCCTTCTCCAAGAGGAAGGAGTACTCAGAGAGACGCATCATTGGGTGAGCCTATCGCGTCAGCTTTTAACATGACCTGGTGTTAGCGTCCGTACTGAGAGTTCTGACCGAGAGTGTCCACCGGAGACGGACATCATGGTACTCTGCATGCAGGACATTGTGTTATCTTGCTGTAATCTGTGACTTTATTGCTCTCTTACTCTTGTGAGCTCTCACTCTGACGTGTAACTCTTTGACGGTGGGCATGCCTGATGCTTGCCACTGTTGTCATAGCAACAACAACAACAACAACAGCAGCAGCAGCAGCAACCAATGAAGCATTTCCTGCAGCTCTCCTGCTAACGTGCGCCGCTAGCTGTCAAAGCAATGCTAAAGGGAAGTCTTGGCACGTGTGTTGTTAAGGGTCCAAGGAAATGCAAAAATCGAATTTGGTGCCATTTTGACTCGTGATACATGAAATAATAATTATGTACTTTGAATAAGCAGGTGGGAAGCTCTCCGTACAGTTTTTAAAAAAAGAAACCAGCTTTGCCAACAGCACATTCCAAACAGACAGGTTTACAATGGGCACTTCACCGGTAACAATAATTCAAATCTATTTTTGCACAGAACAAGGGCGGAGGAGTTTGTTCCCCATTGTTACACTAAACCTTTGATGATTTGAACAGCAGGAATAATTATATTGAACACACCTGCTGATGTTATTATTATTATTGATCGTAATGAACCCACAATTAAAGCAGTTAATTGCTGCTGTGTAATCACAAAACAGCACAAACAGAAAGATCATTTCGAGCATGAGTTCATGTTCTGCGTGTCGCTGCCTCCACCAGCTGAGACCCGACGTATGTGTCTCTGTGTGACGCACTGAATGTCCTCCTCTGTTCCATAGAGAGCTCATAATCACTAAATCTGCTTGTATAAATAGACGCAAGTGGCAGCGTGCTATTTTCCCTCAACTGAAGTAATGCACTTATATAACACTAGTCGTATTATCTGCTTCTCATTCACTACACCTTGTCTTTATTTAGTTTTCCTCTTTAATTCTTTCCCTCCCTCCCTCCCTCTCTTTCTGTCTGTTCGTTTTTGACCTAATGGAAAACTTAACAGGGTCGTGAGTCGTGTTCCGTGTCAGTCTTGTTTCGTGTTACGTCACAGACGCTGACCTTCGTCTTCTTCCTGACGTGCAGCTCTGCATGTTGGTATTTGCCCACTGGAGCTAACGACTCGTTCCTCCCGTCCTCCGCTCTGCAGGTATTCCATGCAGGAGATATATGAAGTGGTGGCCGGCGTGGAAAACTACCGCCTCTTTGTTCCCTGGTGTAAGAAATCTGACGTGGTGTTTAGGCGATCTGGTTTCTGCAAAGCCAAACTCAGCGTGGGCTTTCCTCCTGTGGTGGAGAACTACAACTCTCTTGTCACTACAGTGCGCCCCCACCTGGTCAAGGTAGGGCACTGCCTCCCACCTCTCGTTAGCTAAATAATCCTCGACTTATCTCTCTTCTTGTTGAGGCTAGTTCAGATTCACCACACACTAACTTTCTTCTTCTCATTAACAGTCCAGATGCAGTAAAGGTGTTTTTGTTTCTTGTCAGGCGTCCTGTTCAGATGGGAAACTCTTCAACCACTTGGAGACGGTTTGGCGCTTCAGCCCTGGTCTCCCGGGTTACCCTCGTACCTGCACTGTGGATTTTGCTGTAAGTTTAGGCAGTGCTGTAGAAGTAGAACAAAAAGATTTATGAGAGGTTGAAAAGTGGGGGTGGGTGAAAAAAATTTATCAAGATCTTTAACATTTCTCTATTTTTGCTCAAATTGCAAGAAATAATTTTGGTGATAACATTTATTGCTATAAATTCCATTTGATTAGTTTGAGAAGAAGAAAGAAGATGTAAGATCCTTTAATGCTGAGTCCACATATGTTTGGATCCAGAATCGTTTTAAATTGAGAATCAATCAGATTCAGAATTAACAGTTCGTCAAAGTTTCCTCAAAGCAGAGGGAGCGGTTGTGGTTTAACCTTTTCTCTGTAGCTGCTTTCAGACCTGTACTAAAGTCCGGATGATCTAATTATCCAGAGGGGCAGTTTCTTAGGAAGCAAACAAAATAATACAAATATCTTAGGAGGAAAAAGAGGAGACATACATGATAAGACACAGATGAAGATGTAAACGTGGAAATACAAGAAGATTTGAGAGCTTTTAATAATAATGTGCTAAATATGTGCTATAAACAAAAACACAGAGGAAGTTATACTTCATGTCCTGCGTGTGTCTTCATAAGTGAAAGACAAACTCTGGAGAGGCTTATGTTTGTCCTGTGTTGGTTCTTCTGCGCGTCAGTTTGTCATGCGTGCAGGTGTTGTGTTTCTCTGAGGACCTCTGCTGTGGGTAGAGTGTGAAATTCAGCTGCTAACTTTATCCTCTGTGCTTCTTCCTCAGATCTCCTTCGAGTTCCGTTCCCTCATCCACTCTCAGCTCGCTCACGTCTTCTTCGACGAGGTGGTGAAGCAGATGGTGTCTGCGTTCGAGCGCCGCGCCTCCAAGGTATACGGCGCAGAGACGCCCATCCCTCGCGAGCTCATGTTCCACGAGATTCACCACACGTAGCGCCGCCTCCCCAAAGGCAAACACAAATATCCGATGCCAACGCCAGAAAGGATGAGGGAGGAGAAAGTGTTAGAAAGACAACCCGTGTTCTAACTGAGAGTCACAGTGCCTTTCTCACAGCTACGACCAAGTTCATTCCCAACAATTTCATATCTAATAAGTGACATGGATCCGGCGCCAAGCTTTCACCTTCATGCTCAACGTTTCATTCAGTCATTTCCACTTTCTGAGATAAATCTGTGCCTGGTTGTTAATCTGAGTTCTCAGGTTGTGAGCGTTGAGGTGAAACCGCGGCAGCTCTGTCGGGTCATCACACCTGTACACACCAGTCGTTCACTTCACTGCTCTAACTGACTGTTTCACTTGAGCTGCTGTCGACTTCACTTTCAAAAGCTACTGCATCAGTTCATTCATCAATGGATCAATCGAGAAATTCTTTTACCGATAATGGAAGTAATCAAGACCTCGACTTCCTGTTTTCAAACCGCGGAGATTCAAACTGTAGTTACAGCAGTGCAGCTCGTTACGACACATTCACAAAACATTTTAAATGGAAACAAGAACTTGTGTCCTCATGTCTGGGTCATGTGACTGTCATGTGGTCGTCGTACAGGAGCGAGGTCAAAGGTCAAAGTCTTCTCACGATGTGATGACATGAGCAGCAGCTCTAGTTGTTGTAAGACCAGGGTCCAAGTGTTAAAACCTCGATGCTCGTCTGTGATGACTTAAAGCAACAAAGCAGAATATTGAAGATCAAAGACTAAATTATTGTTTTTTTTATCTCCATCATCAAAGTTTAAAACTTGAAACTCAACAAAGTGACATGAGCTCAGAGGCTTTTCACTGCAGACACATGATGAGAACACGTAGTGAGTGGAGACACTGTCACTGGACATTTTGTATAAAGAGGACGAGCAGGAGGACGTGTAGACAACGAAACGACGCATATACGCATATATACGAATATATACGACATGAACTGTACACAATCCGAAACACACACCTTCTCTGGGTGCTGAACTTTTATCTAGAGGGCTCTGTTTTTTTTCTCAATATTATGCTCATCTCGTTGTTCAGAGAGCGATGCTGGACATGAGAGCTGCTGAATTATCCAGCAGAGGGTGTTTTACTTCTTCTTAAGTATGCAATATGAGCTGTGTAAGCGTTCTTTTAAATACACAAACATTTAAACCCTCTGTCCATGTAAAGGGCCCAAACTGGCTGACGACACAGAGACACCGGCCTGTGTTCATTGAACGTCACAGGAGAGAATGTTGTTTTCTGAGCGTGAACAACGAGACACATTAGAGTGAGTGAAAATCGAATCGACAGATCTTCAAATGCTGATAAAACACTAAAGTGACTCTATTCTTGATGCTGTTGTTATCAACAACAACAATAATAATGATAATAACAGAAAACAGAGGCCGTTATTCAACTGCCAACATCGAGCGTCTTCTCTAAACTCACGTGAAGACACTTCTGCATTTGTAAGTGAAAATAATCTTTATTTTTAACATTAAGGATTAGAAGCGTAAATTAGATTCTTAATGTGTCCGTGCAGATTCAGACTGTGAGAGGTTGAATAAATACAGGCCGTGCATGTGTCTTGTCGGTCAGGACGTTGTTTCAGTGAGGTCATCGGCCCTGAACCCACGTCGCTCACAGAGTGCCTCCTGACCGACTGGCAGCATATTTATCTCTATTTTTAAACATTAGACTCGTATTTATTACTTAGTTTAAAGTGTAAATATTGGTAATGAGATCACAAGACGTAAATACACACTGCTTTTAAAGAGACTAGGTTTGTGTCCGTGTGCTCGATGGGACGGGGGACGGGACTTCTTGGGAAGATGATGTGTTGAAAGTTGGAACAAGTTCAGAAAGATTTACCAACTGCATGATTTATAAAGTATTTTTTCTAAAAAAGAAAAACCTGGACTCACGTGTGATTTATTTATGTGTGTGTT